AAAAAGAAATTCCTAGCTGATGCACCACTAGTGAGAGGCTGGGGTAAAATAAAATCAAAACATTCTTTATTCCTAGAGGACTGGGATTAATGATTAATACCGGAAGTTCAAAACAGGAAGAGGATCTGGCCATCGTCTGTAATTTATTCATAAATTGTCAGCCTGTCACAGATAACTTTTTCAAGTTAAATGTGACACTTGTTTAAATATTTACTGGCTTGGTGACCTATTTTTGTTGTTGTTGCTATTAATTAGAATTTTTAAAAAAAGAAAAGAAGCATTTGTAACAGCAAATTAATGGCAGTCGGCGTCAACAGTAGGGTAGCTCATCCAAGCTACAGTGCAGACTACTGTGATTTACAAAATTGTATCTGTGAGGAAAAATTAATTGAAAATACCGGAAATAGTATTTGAATGTAAAAAGGTTAAGGTCCACTCTTATCCCTGACCTGTGGTGATTAAATTAACACAACAGATGTAAAAACGTTTAAAATGTAGAGCTTCCGGCAATTGTTTTTCCATTATTTTTCTTTCAATGTGTGTTTAGCCCCAAATCTCCTTTCTTCCAAGAGGTTGCAATGCTGAACAATTCTATAGCTGTCCTTAGGAGATAAAAAAGCTATTTTCAGATGTTACATTTTGTGTCCTTTGCTTTTTAAAAATTTTAATGGCTTTGTGCTTTCGTGACAGCCTCCGGATCAAGTCAACACTTCCTACTCTTTCTCCTCTGAGGTATCTTGGAGGCCAGGCTTAGATGACCTTCAAGATCACAGTCACTGAGGGGTTTCATGTTCCCGGACCACAGGCCTGTGGCCTCCAAGTGTCCTTCCCAAAAGAGAGTTCAGTCAGAATGCGGCAGTAAAAATGTCTGATACACAGCAGGGATTATAGCCAGCAACTACCCTGACAAGCTGTGTAGCATGAGCACCCCAGGTTTCAGGGGTGTGCGTGGGGGTGGGTACTTCAGGGAAATATCACTTTAAATATAATAATTTTGATTAATAATTAAGAAATTGTCATGGGAAGTTTTTTTTATGGTGACAGACTTTCTGTTAAGGGGCTAAAGACAGTATCACAGCTAAGTATGACAGTTACAACACGGCATGTCGGACTGGTTAGTCCATTACTAGTGGATAGCTGCCTATTACACACCATGGCCGGTAGAATAATTCTTTGACCCACTTTCCTGGTGTGAGGAAATTGAGGTTCCAAAGCTTACCTAACTCTTCTACATTACCTCACTGTTCAAGGCAGAAGATACCTGGAAAGGGAAGAGGCCTTTCTCTGGAACCTGGAGGTTTCTCTCCTCCCCTCTGATGCTCAGCAGGGAGGATGACCTAGGGCTCCCTCAGGGTTAAATGGCCCCTCCGTCTCCCCTTCATAAGCCCATAGCCAGAAACTGTGGTGACTTAAAGATACCGCAAGTCCTTTGCCATGTCTCCCTGCAAGGGGAAGTCTGTTGTCCTTCCTGTTCAGTAACACTGGTCCTGTGACCCGCAGTGACAGGCGAGGGTAAGGGATGTAAAACCATGTGTCTGCCAGTATTGAGTCTTAAGTGATCTGCAGCCTTCAGCTCAGAGGAAGCCAAAGTGCAACTTTCTTCAGTCACCCAGGATTCATCTGACATAGGCTGCCACCACCGTGCCGCCTAAGTCCCTTCCAACAAGCTCAATGTCTTGGAGGAATATCCATTGGTGTGGTGTTTGCCCTGGCCCCTGAGATCAGCCACTACAGAAAAAATGACTGATGGCATGGCCAGGTCAACTGGTGACTGGAAGAGCCTGAGGGTTCAATGAAACTGGACACTCAGAACAGACAGGCTCATACCGAGGCGGGGTCTTCTGCCTCCACCCCAGTTATCAAAAGCCTCAAGGAGGCACCAAGAGACAGAAAAAAAAAAACAAAAAACAAAACAAAAAACAGAAAAACAGTAAGATGTGAAAATGTCACTTTTAAAAAAAAATGTTTTGTACCAGGAATCCAGCTCGTGACCTTGAGTTTGCCAGGCTAGTGCTTATGCTGCTGAGCTAAACCCCTGGTGAAAATGTCATTTTTAACAAGATTGTGAACATTGTCTAAGAGATGTGGCTCAAATCTTCAGCCAGAGGACTTTCTGGAATCATGAAAGAGATCCTAGGCACTCCTGGTCTATGTGCTGCAGTGTCAATGGCCACCATCTTCACAACACCATGGATGATATCACAACGGTGTAGTGGAATACCCAGCTAACTAAGAAGCATAAAGGAAAATATTTCAATTAAAGATGAACTGATACATTAAAAAAAAGACATGTGCACCTATGGTACTATGTGCTAGGAACACTTGCCCTTAGAACCAGCCACCATGGTATTATAAGACACAATGAAAAGAACCAAATTGGTTCTCACACTCATCCACAGCCCCAGCCATGGCCAACGGAACTTGCCAGCCATGTCAGTGAGGCATCTTGGATATTCCAGTTCATTGGAAACACAAGGAGCAGAAGTACCCAGCTGAGCCCAGGTCACCCCACGATTGTGGAAGATAATAAGCAGTGGTAGTAGTGGTTGTTTCAAATCACTAGGCTTTGGAATAATTTGTTCTATATCCTAGATAACCAAAATAATATGCCTACCTGAGACAATAACTTCTTGGATTGGAAGACCTCAAAGGTGTTTTACATGTGGTGCACTTGGCTCTGACATGATGGGCCAAACAAGAGCATAACACTGATGGGATCCCTCATTTGCATTGTGGAGAGGAAGGATATCTCACAGGAGGGCTAGCCATCTCCAAAGGATATCTGTGGTCCCCCTTGGAGGATATCACATTTTTCTTCCCCCAAGCAGTCACAAGACACTTTTATGTGTGGGCACACAAATTGGCTAGGGTCTACTTCTGCAATAACTGGTGATCAACTTGTAATACCAGCTGAACTGAATCGGTGGGGTGTTGATTGTGGATAGTTCACCTGAGGATTGTTGCTAAAATAAAAAGAACTGGAGAGGAAGAGGTGGTGTTGTTGTCATTGGTTTTCCTGGAGGAGCTCATTGAGTTTTTCTGATATGAACTTGGCTGTTGTCATCCTCAGAAGAGCTCGGGACCTTGTTGCTGAGAATGGCTATGGTTCATTTTGGGGGAGCTCTGGTCTTTACCGCTTCCTGGCTATGGAAGAGAAGATGCTGTGCTGTTTAATCTCCAGGAGAAGCTTGTCAAGCTGGTTTCCTGATATGAATTCAGCTGTTCTCATCATTGGAGGAGCTCAGGACTTCATTGTTGCTGAGGATGCTGTGATACTTTGTGAGGGAGCTCAGGTCTTTTCTTTGAGTGTTGCTTCCTGGCTCCAGTGCAGAGCCCTCAACCTACTGGCACAGATCCATCAGCCTGCTAACATAGACTTTCTAGCTTCCACCACTGACCTTTGGGCCTTCCTAGTGCAAATCCATGAAACAGGCTTGCATGAGACATTGTCATAGGCTCTAGGTCTTTAACTAGACTCATTCAGGATGTTGCTGTGGGATCGGGCCCTCAGATAGATTTTTGGGGGGGTCTTGAGTGTGTGGACAGATTTCCTGCACTCTTATGTTTCATTCTTTGTATGACTATCATACAATAACTTCATAAATTGTATGTCCAGTATGTGTTTCCCTTGCAATCCCTGAGTACAACAGCTGACAGCTGCAGTTTAAGGGAGGAGAGGTTTATTGAGGCTCACAATTTCAGAGATTTAGTCCATGGTTGACAGGCTTCAAGGCAGAGACACTGCAGCAAAAAGGACATGAAAGAGGAAAGTTGCTCATCTCGTGGAATCTGAGAATCAGAATGGGTTGGAAAAGGTCAGAAAAGAAGGGATCAGGATCCAGACATAGTGTTAAAGGTCGTGCCCCTAATGACCCACTCCCTTCAAGTAGGCTTTGCCTCTGAAGAGCCTGTTCAGCCATGAACTCATGGATGGGTAAACCCAATATTGAGGTCAGTACTCTCACAATCCAAACACCTCTGCAGGAAACTCTTAATTCATCTAAGTTGACAATCAAGATTAACCACCACACTGGTCCAGGATGCACGAAGAGAGGACCTTGAAGTTGAACTAAGCTGGAAAAACACCAAGAGCTGTGTCTTTTCCATGTAAATAAATCTTTTTAAAAAAATATTTCTGCTGTAAGAGGTGTTACTTGCTTTTCTTGAAAAGTCAATGAGCTTATTTCTGATTATGTTATTATGCAGGTTAAATTGCAAATTTTCTAGCATCCTACTTCTATGAGTTAGGTGCAAAGTAAACAAATATTCCTTCCAAATGCATGGTAGTTTCTGTTCTTACTTTAAAAGGGATAGTGATGCTATAATAGGTTTTCAGGAAAGTTGGCTAATTCCAATGTGTTAATTTAGGTGAACATAGTCCAGCCTGTGGTGACACCATTGTGTAACCAGTGTAGGACCCTTGCTAAATCAAAGTGATCTTTGTAGTTATGAGGACAGATAGTCTTCTTCAAATATAATGCTTTCTTCCTGACACCCCCTGAGAAGACTAGTAAAGCCAGTTCTTCTGACCTGGCTGGTAAAATAATTTTTTAAGCCTGACCTTTAGCAAAAGGCAATATGTCTGCTAGCTGTTGGGAACTTGAAGTATTTCCACCAAGTGTAAATGGAAGGGAAGCCCCAGATCCATTCACACCTAATGGCGAAGTTGCTTGTCCCACTTTGGGGTTTATGGCCTTGTGCTGCATGTATGTTTTCCCAAAGATGCATTCCAGCAAGCTCTCTAACACAGGCCTTGCTTTGGATCCATTTTCATGACAGATTTTCTAGGCACTGCCTTTCCAAGAAGACTGAGTACCCTTGCATTCACCTAAGCCATTGAGTCATAGCTCCAACTGGTTTCCAAACTCCAGTTTTGAAAGGAAAAAATTTTAGGGTGGTTTGGAAAGGCAGGGGTAATGGCTTCTGTCCTTTTTTCTTACAAGAATCACAAACCTGACATTTTAAAAAAAGAGTTAGAAGAAATGAGGCTGAGACACCGAGGAGGGACAGAATTTCTATTTCAGTGGGTTCCTTAAGGCAACAGAGGAAGCTTAGCGGCCACAGGAGTCTAGTTAATGAGCGGGTTATACAATATTCATTGTGTTGAGTTTAACTCTTCAAACAGAACGTCTAATTGCAAAAAGAAAAAGAAGCCAAATTACAGATGTTAAGACAACAAAGCTCGGGAAGAACTCCCTTTGTTGATAAACCTGTCCTTTCGATGCTTCCTCCAACTAACTGCACACTGACAAGAGGCCAGGGAGTCCCTGCCCTTATCAGGAATTCTTACGAGCTCCCTTTGACTGAGACACTCTGCGGGGTCTAAGGAGGCTATTGAGAAGCTCGGCGCCAGGTCTTCTCAGAGGACTGTTTCTTATCATCCACAGAGGGGGTGATCCAGTTGTATTCTGCTTGAACCAGGGCAAAACTGTTTTCCCCAATTCTCCTGACATGCGCAGTCTCCCCACTGTCACTCCTGGCAACAGCACCTGCAGCAGGCTCACTGAAGGACACTTTTATCTGTTTGTGGCAATAGTGAGTATACAGGTAGCAAAGGCCACAAGCCAGGGCCATGCCCAGAGCTGCTAACAGGCTTAACAAAAGCCCTAACTGAGGAGTTCTGAACTGGATCCCCAAAGGGGCACCGTCTTCCTCTAGTCCAACTTCAGCTCTTTGGTTGGTCTTGCTAGGGTGTCCCATGCCAGCCCCTCCACTCCCCGTGCCCTCTCTGGCCTCCTTGTGCTTTGACTCAGGTAGGAAACTGGCAGAAGGCCTTGGTTTCTCTTCATAGCCATCAGCAGCAGGTAGCCTGGAAATGCTAGAGGGGTAGAAGGCAGGAGCTGGGTTGGCTGCCCCAACCCCATGCTCCCTGAATGCCACAGAGGGCCAGAGATGCTGGAGATTGGTACGATGGGCAGTGTGCAAGGAAGGCTTCATCAGGGTCCCATTAGAGGCCACCATGTTGTCCTAGAAAGAGAAAGAATGAAAGAGTCAAGTGGGGCTGTTTTTCCTCCAGTTCACCACTAAACTTTGCAACTGACTTGTGTTCTCTAAAGATAACCCAGGGAACAGCTGAAAACCCAGCCTCTGGCCTCCTCCTAAAAGAGCTGAGAATAAAAGCAGATAAACACACACTTGTAATCGATGGAGACAGAGTGACTAATGGAAACCCCACACAGTGTGGGGATGAGTTATAAAAATACAGTTACGGTCCTTACGGGCTTCCAGGCCCATGTAGAGAACTGTGTCCTTTCTGACAGCTAAAGCTTTGAGTGTCTTATGGTAGGACCCATGCAGGAGGGATCATTTTACTTTTTCTCTAGGGGCCAAAAAATTTAAGTCAGGATATTTTGCCATGCTTTATGTTGTGTTCCTTCTAAGACTTCAAAGAAAGAATAAATCAGTGAGCATGTATATTTTATATTGTCCATTGATCTAACCTCTGGGGCCGTATATGATATTTTGAGGGCAGTGTTATGAAGGAGGAGTGGAGGAGGTGAGAGAGGAGGAATTATTAACCAAGGCTAAGTGGAAAAACACATTGCTAAAACCATCAATTTCTTCAATTGCCAGTAACTCTGGAGACACTGCATAGAATGGGAAGTGTGGTATTGATTAGTGAGGCGATATTGTGTATATCATGCCCTGGCTTTCACTCTGACTTTGACTGTTAGTCTAATAGCTCTTTTTCCAGCCCAGAACTTTCCATTACAGAGCCAAAATGCCAACCTTAGCCCTAATTCACAAATCAAGCTTTTACCTGTTCATCTGAACCCCAAAGCAGGCAGGTTTCCAATGACTCAAAGTTTCGGTCATCCTGAGTGCTAGGGAGAGAGCAGATCTAAGAAGGAATCACTAAACACATGAATTAGAAACAGTATTTCCTACCCACCTTCTTTATGGTGATGAAATCAGATTTCCTTGGAGTCAGGGGCCAGAGAGTAGAGAGGGGGAAGAAGAGGATGATTGCAAAGAACTCATTACATCATTTATTATTTTATATAAAATGTATTTCTATGTTGTATTATAAATATATTTTTAAATTGTCAATGAAATTTATTTATAGCAGCATCTCAGAGACCTCACCCCATCTAAGATAATATAGTTTTCCTGAGTAATTATCATACCCAAGCTCTTCTGATCACCACCCTACTACAATCAGGGTATTCAGGCATTCACAAATAAAAATGGCAGCACAATTCAAACAGCTAAATCTTGGAAGTGGGCTATCTGTCCATCAACAGATGAATGGCTAAAACAATGTGGTATTTACAGACAGTACAGTAGTACTCTGCTATTAAAAAGATGATTCATGTATAGAACAATGATATAATTTGAGATTGTAATGTTAAATGAAATAAATCAGACACAGGAGCTTAAATATTACATGGTTTCTCTTCTATGAGAACCCCAAATTATAAATAAAGGTAAAAATAAAGGATATTAGGAATTAGGGAGATGGAATTTTCTCAAATGAGAAGGGGATCAAAAGGTGGAAGAGCCGGGGAGGGAAGGGATGAAGAAAAGAATTAAGACGGGTCATGTCCATGTACCAGCTCTGCAACAAGGAAAGTAAATACCCTGAGCTGCAAACATATGTGCATAAAAATAAAGAGAAAAGAAAGAATAAAAATGATTAAGGTCTGTTTTGCCAGATTTCAAATCAAGTCCCCAGTGTGTAGCCGTGGTCTAAGTGGCCCCCATCACCAGTGATCTGCTGCTGCTTGTTTAGAAGCCAGGCCCTCTGAGGAGACTCACCTGGGGGCCACAAGCCTCTCCAGCCTGTGCACATCCCGTGATGGTTCTAGGGTTGGGTTTCTGTCCCCACTGGGCCCCTGACTGATGCTGGTTGGCGTAGCTGTGAGCGAAGGATTTGGGGTCAGGGTCTGGGAATCCCCGGGCAACTTTACCACCACAGGACTGGTAGGAGCAGGATCTAGGCTGTTCTCCTCTGCAGCTCCTGTAAGAGCAACGGCAAAGAATGTGCACTGCTGTGGAGGAGTGATGGGGCACCAGGAGCTACACAGACCCCAAAGATGCCACAGACAAGACGTTTTCTCTGTCTTGATTGGTACACAAAACTATGATAACACAGTAAATAGTGGAGACTCTAGTGGTCCTCAAGGATAATCACTAAACATGAGCCACTCAAAAATGACTTACCCAGTAAAATAAGACCCCAAAAACAACAACACACTTATTTCTTACATGTATTAAAAGAAGTCCCTTGCCCTACTGGGTTTGTGCGTTCTTTTTTGTCTTTTTGAGACAGGGTCTCACTATGCAGTTCAGGCTGGCTTTGAGCTCACTTTGTAGCCCAGGCTGGTCTCAAACTTGCAACGATCCTCCTGCCTCAGCCTCCCAAGTGCTGGGATTACAGGCATGAGCCACCATGCCCAGCTAGGTTCTTAACAGATGCTATACAGGGAATACAGAAACCACTGGACAACTATACATTTTTAATCGCTTCAAAAATGACTTCTATCTAGAAGTTGAATCTCACCAGTTTTTAAAAAAAACCTAGGTCTTCTGCCACATGAACACTGTAAGTTTCTCCGGTGCTGTTATGACCTGAGTTTATGCTACAGGCAAAACCAAAATCCCTCTACTCAATCTCCTCTTTGTGACTGGCTAAGAGGAGGGCCCAGAGCATCAGAAACAGTGGAGCATCAAGCAAGTGCAAAGTTTAGAATCAGATTATTGTCTGTGTTCAGTGTCCTCTCTGCTATTCCCGGCTTTGGGAAAGTCTTCACAGAGCATTAGTTTTGGCATTCAGACAGTGGGGCCAGGAATGAATGCCCCACGGCATAGAACCATTGAGGGGAGAAGCGAAGTCACTGGTACAGAATTGTGAAGGCCAATGCGGGCACATGCAGCGAACACTGAGTGTCAACCACAGTAACAATCAGAGTACAGCAGTAGAAAACCATGATGGCAGAAATCTCTTCAGCCAATGTCCAGTGTCCCTGTGTTCCAGGGCTTTATGATGCAAAACACTGAGCTGAAGAAACAAAGCAACCAAACCCAGATACATAGCAAATCATCAGTTTGTAATTTGTTCCTAAATCTAAGTGCTCTCGATTATTTCAACAGACCCTTAGGAGCAGGATGTTGTAATGGTGGCTGCAGGTGCAGCAGGGATACAGATTTGCGATTGTTGTGCCTAAATTCAAAATCCGGAAGCAAAGATCCTGATACGATCAGTCACTGAAATTATAAGATGGCAGTTTAATACTGGAGCTCAGAAGGTTTATCTCAAATTTGTATGACAAACCTCATCCCTAGTGCAATAGTACTAAGAGGTGTGGCCTTTAGGACATGAGTCAGTTATAAAGGCAGAGCCCTCTGCAATTAAGGCCATTACAGAAGTGGCCTGAGGGAGATTTTTCACTCTTTCTGCCACACAAGGATGCGAATAAGGCACAAATATAAGGAGCAGTGCTTCCCCAGAACCCAAATCTTCTGGCACCTTGACATTGGACTTCCCAGCCCCCAGAATGGGTGAGCAGTGGCTCTCTGTTATTTACAAGTTGCCCAGTCTAGAGTGTTCTGTCATTATAGCAGCCTGAGTGGGCCATGACACTCGTTTACCATAGAAGCATGAGAAACAGATTCACCCGGGGATTTTTGGACTGGACTTGGAAAGTTCTGTGGATCAATCCTTAGAACAGTCCAGTATGAAGCAATGTCAGAAGGGAAACCTGGATATGTAAAAGTAAATCATACCTTAAAAAGCTGGGGCAGGACCCCAACGTGTCCTCAGGGTCTCCTGGCAGATATGTTTGAGAATACTATATATTATTTTTGGGAATCACCAGAGTTTACATAAATTAATGGGCAGGGTCAAAGGAGGCGGGACATGTGGGTCACACCATGAGGAGTTTACACTGTGGCTGCTGAGACTGGCATCTGTGATCCCAGGGTGGAACCAAATCACCCAGTGAAACCCAAGAGGCTACAGGACCAACGTGACACCTCCTCTGGAAGCCCCACTTTCAATCATAAACTTATTACCACGAACATAGTTACATTTGCAATTGCAATGCAAGAGTTCCTACAACAGTTGTTGTAAAACAGAGCATGAGATTTCAAACAAGAGTTGGAGCACAGGGTCTCCTCCGGGCCAACTCTTGGAGTGTTGGTGGAAGAGCTGGAGGCCCAGAGACGGAGCAACAGAAGACAAAGGTTTCTGAGCACAGGCTTGGGGAAGGGGAGCACGGCCATGGGTCATCTCAGTCCTTGGGTCTCCTAGACTGACAGAAGGCACGGGTTCCTGCTGGTGTCTGGCCTTAACCTAGTAGCAAAGAATTGTGGGAAGAATCAAGGGAAATGGGGTTGAGTGGGTGAGGCTCAGATCCATGCAAGCTATTGGATGTCAGAATGGTCCATCTGTCCTCAACTTTTACCCAGAAATGGATAATGAGAGTGGGTTCCAGTGATAGGAATTTTCAGAGTAAACATTCCATGCAGGTTTGGGTTCTGTTTTTTTCTTTTGTTTCATATCTTATTTCAGAAACTCCGGGGTCAGTGGAGTATAACATCATGGGGTAACCCAGGAAAAAGTTGATTCCCACTGAAACAGGAAACCTATGTTTCTGATTCTGTTCTCCAACCCAGACTGCAGAGAACTATCTGCATATTGTGGAAAGGAACAATAGGGGGAAAATGTTTCTAAAAGAAGAAGAAAACAGCTCATTTCTTTTCAGTGTGCCCTGCATCATTTCAGGGGTCGAAGAAAAACAGCTGAAATATTGTGCGACGGCAGGCTCAGGGAAGATGTGTTCGGTTCTGTGGCTCAGCTCTCTCCACCCAGCCCAGGGTCCGACTTAATTTGTCAGGTTGAGCCAGACAAAGTGCACAGGTGCTGTGACAAACTCAGAGTCACCTCGAGGGGCCCGTCCCTCTCAGCTCCACTTTATCACCTCCCCAGGTTGGCAGTTACAGGACAGGGCAGGTGTTTATTGCTTGTGTTGCTAGGATAGAAAACCAGCCGTACTAAAGCCAGAAGTGAAAACAGATCACCATAAAATAATGACTCCCAGCAGGCTAGTGCACCCGTGCTAATTCGTACCTGGGGTGATTTCCTCGTGATAGCCCAGCCTCTGCCCCAGAGCTGGCACCGGTGACCCAGCCTCTGGGCTCCTGAGGTCATCTGAGTAGGCTCTGCTGTGTGTCTCTTGTGATACAATGGATGATTCAATCCTCACCCAGTAAACGAAATATGACTGGACTACTGATAATCTGTGGAAAAGGAGAGTGCAGAGTGATTCAGGGGTTTAGTTTCTCCCAAGGAACACCCAAGGCCATCTTAACAACAAAGAGAAAGCAAAAGTCCAAATGAATAGAAGAACTAGAGATTATTTCCTTTTGAGTGATTTTATTCTTTAAAAAAAAAAAAAAAAAAAAACAAAACAAAAAAAAAAAAAAAAAACCCGAACTGGAGAAGTGAAAGTAATTAGAAGAGGTTTCTATTCAAATAAATTAATCTTCTTAGGTAAATATGAGCACCAAAGTTCTCACTCAGGGCTTGGGGTATAGCTAGCTCAGTGGCTTATTACCTAACATGCTCAAGGGCCTGGGTTCAATCCCCAGCACTGCAAAGGAATTTCCTTTTTCACTGTAACTAAAAACTGTCTAAAACTATTTAGACTCAAAGAAAAGGTTTCACTCTCAACTTTATATTAGCTATGACTGATACACTTTCATTATATCACGAATTAAGGATTTCTCGATTCCAGTGTACAGCTGTGTGATTATATCGGTGTCGTAGATACCACTGAAGATTAAAGACAGCTCACTAACATTCTAAATAAAGTCTTAAAGGTATAATGTGTTTCTTTCACAAATATTGTGCCACAGATCGTTCCCCAGTTCCCCTGATACAGGGATACTGACACGCATCATTCTCCCACTGTTAGTATGCAGAAGGCTGTGTTGCCACCATGTGACTAACACAGCTGGGGTCACCCAGAGAATCAAGAACCAGTGGTGAGCCTGGCTTGGACCTCGAGCCTGTGGCTTCCAGGCTTGGTCCCTGGTAACATGGGTGAGGATTCTGGGGAAGCAGAGAGCCGGGTGGCCTAGAGCAGGCTCCTGACCAAGCGGCTCAGCATCCTTTTCTGTCACGTGGAGACAACAGTATCTAAACTACATCCCACACCACACATAGGCACTGGCATGGGCTAGGGGTTCCCTCCTTTTGTCCTGCTGGCCTCCGGGGCTCCCAGAAGGCAGGGAGAAAGACACTGCTGTGTGCGTCAAAAACCTGGTCCCTCTCATGGCTCCTGGTGGCCAGATTCCTCTGTCCCAGAGAGGAGGGGACCATGGCAGGGGGGAGCTCGCATCACTATGTGATTTCAGTGCTGTCCCGTGGGCCTCAGGGCCTCCTTCCACCCTTCTTCTAAGCGGGCTACACGGGGAAGGCGACAGAGATCAACAGGACAGAAAGGAAGAGGAAAGCCTCCAGGCTCCCCTGGGCCGGGCTCCCCCAGACATGGCACTTCTCTGGCTTACAGGAACCTGACGTCCCCCGCAGGCCGGGCAGGAGCCTTCCACACGAACGACAGGTTTCTTTTCGGGGACTTGTCGGCGTGGGTGACTGTGTCCGCCTCTTCCAGACAAGCCATCAGTTTGGACCGAGGAGGGATGGAGACGAAAGTGCCGGCTGTCTGTCGCCCAGGAGTGCCCCAGGCCTGCAGCAGGAAGCCCATGAAGCCGCGGCCGCTGCTCACCGTCACTGCGGGGGAAGGCGGGGACACGCGGGACTCAGGGCCACGCGGGCATCTGCTGGGTGTCCTCAGAGCCCAAAGCCTCAGACCGCGCCTTCCCCAGAAAGCCAGCAGTCCCAGGGAAGGGGCGGGGTCGTCTGCTTTCCATCAAAATAATCACTTTGGCTAAAAAGTGCATGAAAAGGAAATGCAAATAAGCCAGAAAAATATTTTTCCCTTTTATCTATTTATTTTTTTAAAAAATATTGGAGTTAGAAATGTCTCTTTAAGCAGACGTACTGGCCAGGCAGGAAAAGGCAATAAGGTTTGCTATATTGTTAAGAGTTGATTCTAGATGAAATAAAGGCAAGTGGTAAACTCAGAAAAGTATTTACAATGTATGAAACCCACAAACACAGAGAGAGGTAAGGTGAGCCACTAAAAAGAGAATTCTTCCCTAAAGAAGGGAAGAATTTTTTACCTATGGAAAATCAAACAAAGTCATTGTAATTAAAAAGCAATTATAAAGGAAACATTATTTTATATCTATCATGCTGGCAAATATTAAAACATGTGATTAGAACCAGTATTAATAGGGAAAGTGAGCATCTGTAGGCAGGGGACTGGACCAACTCTTTGGGGTCAACCTGCTTTATTTAAATGTAGTTAATCCCATTACACCAGAAAGCCCTGGGGAACCCAGAAAACAGTAAGTGAAATAAGCCAGAATAACAGACTTGTGTCTTCCCACTTATGTGAGATGCCTAGAGTAAGCAAACTGATAGAGACAGAAAGATTAGGCGTTATCAGGGGCTGTCTATTATCTATCTATCTATCTATCTATCTATCTATCTATCTATCTATCGGTGCTAGGGATGGAACCCAGGGCCATAAGCATGCTAAACATGCAGCCTATCACTGAGCTATGTGTTTTAGTTAAAAATCTATTTTTTGTACAGATTTTGGTATATAGCATGACGTCTTGCTGTATATAATGAAATGGTTACTATAGTTGAGCAAATTATCATATCCTTCATCTCCTTGAGGTGTTCACAGATGGATGAATGTTAGTTTATAATAAGAAAAAAGTATATTTTTCTAACATACATGATACATGAAGGTTGCTTAGGGTAACCTCTGGGACCCAATGTATATCCTTTGGAAAGAAGATAGTATTTTATAATTGTGCGATTTGAGTTCTTAGGTTACTATCAGTATAGAGATCAGTTACGCTGTCATTTTCATAACACAAACATTTCATGCTTATTTTTGGCCAAATGAGTGCTTCTTGGGTCTAAGTCATATTTTAGCTCAGGAAAATATGCTCCCAGTTTGAAAGATTCCATTGGTTCTCTGGGGCTCCCATACTTCTCTCAAAGCCTCTCCCACACATACCTGGGATCTGGTCTCCAGGTGAGTAGGAAGCCTTGCCAGCATGGATGGAAATGTGGTGGGTGCCAGGGCGCTGGGGCCGTGCTCCCATGTGTCTGGGCTGTAGGTCCTCACAGGCCACCGTACTGCCTCCATGGGAAAAAGCTGACAAGCAGGAAGTCAGGCAGAGGGTGATGATACAAGCCCAACCTGCAAGGGTAGCTGGGACCCTCATCTTGCTCTCTTCTGTATCGTGAAAAAAATAGCTTCAGCCAGATGCCACTTAAAAAATATGATGTCTGTTTGGATGTGACTGACTCGAATCCCACACTCCCTTTACACCTGATATTCACAGTGCTGACTCTTGAAGTGCAAGATCAAAAAGACGCCAAGCTGTAAGAAACATTTCATTTCTAGAAAATCTTATTTTTTTGTAACTTCTCATCATGTTTTCATGAGGCAAGACTCTTTTTTGACAAAGAAATTTTAATTATTAAATCTAAGAAATAATACCTGGAAATGTTTGTTTTCTACAGTGAACTGATGAATTGTCTGATAGCCAAGGACAGGATGAGCTATAGTACTTTACTGCTAAAGAAGACACCGATATTCCAAAGTGGTCAAGGAGCATGGAACGTAGGGACTTGGCTTAGCAAAGTCTTATCTCTACAATTGCAAATTACAGAGTCAAATGCTTGTAACAAATATTTATACCTACTACTATACCTAGGTAATATTTATACCTCCTAATTATTTAGGAGTAATTAAATTTTCCATTCTTTGATATTGTTTTGTCCTTTTTCCTTCTCTTTTTAATTATATCACTACTTTTGAAGATGAGCAAAGAAGTTATACCCAAACTGATTATTCTATACTTTGTTAAATAGATTGGTAAAAGAAAATTGAACACAATAATTGGATAAAATAACAATTATAATATTTTATAATATACTTGTAACTTTGTAACATTCTATAAATTTACAACTTTTAATGCCCATCAGCAGACAGAATTACATTGACAACATAAAAGAAATTGATACCTAACACTAAAGTGAGAGAGAACAAGTAAGACACATAAAAATCTGAGTAAATAGAGATGTCTCAAGCATATTTTTAGTAGTTTTGTGTTTTAAATTTTGTTTTATATTCTTTTACCAGTGACTTTTAAAAATTTGGCTAATATTTTGATCTAAAGGACAGCACAAAGCAATCCCTTCCTTTTAGCAAGATGGCTTTAAAAGGTAAAAAATAAACTAGAAAATTACAGTGAAACTAGCTATTCAAAACAGGAGATTAAGGAAATAATTCACATAAGCCAATAATCATCCATCACCACCCCTGATGCTGACAAGGCCTGAGGAGACGGAACAGGCTCTCAGTCGGATCTCTCAGACTTACCTAGAGAGCCCTTCTGACAACACCTTTCTTTTAGAGGTTTGTTTTCCATGAGATGCTACAAATTGAAACCTCTGCTGCACAAGGAACTACAACTATGGCTTCCCAGACTAAAGAGAGTGGACTAGGAGTTGTAAAAGCTTGCTCTTGTGGAGCGCCCCAGGGTCTGTCTGAGTCCCTTCACAAGGACCCTTAGGAAATGCCCCTGAAGCCCTTGTCAATGGCGAAGGTGGTGTCCTTCCCAAAGGCAGAGCAAACTCAGGTGCCTACGGAGGAAAGGAACAAGCACCACAGCTCATGGGCCGTGGCCTCAGCCACACTTCTCATCCCCACCTTAGACCTTAGCAGGGGCCCCTTGTCTGTCTGAACCCCCAAACCATCTACTTACCTAGGATGCAGTTTCCCTCAGGCTTGGTGGAACAGTTTTCTCCCTCAGAATCACAAAAACACATCCTTTCAACAAAAGTCTTTTTTTCTCCCTCAGTCTTTCCTCAAATAGGGAGGAGGACAGCTGTTGCCGCTAATCCTGAGCTTCTACAGGACCCAGGCTCCAGTGTCTGAATCCAGCCTGAATTGTATTGGTTTTCTTCAAAACCGCACACACATAGTCACACACAGTTACCAGGCAAATCTTCATTCAAGCCTGTGCAAAGAACTGGAAAGAGCCGGAAATGGTTCTGCAAATGGTTCTGCAAAACACTGGCATTCTCAGAGGAAGCTGGATACCTTCATCTTGGCCTCTTGGGCAAGGGGAAGATGTTTGAATGACCCTCATCTCAGCATCCTCTGCTTCTTGAGACAATGTGGGTTCAAGAAGCTATTCCTGCTGAACTGGGATTGATCCCTAAGAGGAATGTTTGCCTATAAAATTGAATACCACATAGCTATCCGGGCCTAGTGATGCATGCCTGTAATCCTAGTACACTGAAAATCTGAGGGAGGAGAAACACAAGTCCTAGCACAACCTGGGCAATTTAGTGATTCCGTGAGGATTGGGGAAGTAGCTCAGTGTAGTCTTTGACACTTGATGTGTATTTTACAGTGACAGCACATCTCAGGTGCACAGCAACCACACATAGTAGGCTGATACCAAAATGGGCAGATCAGGGCTATTCTAGGGGAAGTGGAGAAACAGAAAACTCATAATTCGAGATAAGGCTAGTTACCCATGTGATCCCAAGTCCAAAAATATGTAAGAAGCGGTGGTGACTGAAAGTACAAGATAGTGGGGCTGGGGATTTAGCTCAGCAGCATAAGCACCTGCCTTGCAAGCAGACAGACTGTCGTGAGTTTGATCCCCGGTACTGATAAAAATTAAAAAGACCAAAAAATAAAAAGTACAAGATAGTAATTAAACATACAGCACAGGTATCTGGTATCTTGCATGGAGTGCTTACAATGTTCTAGTCGACTGGCTAGTAAATTATATCATTAATACTTACAACACTCTCACTATGAGGTCCACACTGTCGTTGTCTTGTTCTGTGGGTGAGGAAACTGAGTCACAGTGTTCCTATACATTGCCCAAGTTCACACAGCTTTTTCTGTGAATCTGCTTACAGTCACTTCACACTAGTGATTTGGCTAGTGTTGATGTATTAACAGGCTAAGTCTGTTACACTAACGTCCTGCAGCCCTGACCATAGCAGTGATATTAATGTCATACACAGGGAAAGTCTTGTGGTGAGTTATGTGCTAAAAAATCAGATTCTCTGTGTTCTTTGGCAAATTGCTTAATTTCTCTCGGTTGCCTCAGATATAAGATAAAAGATTTGAATTCAATAATCTCTTAGCTTTCTTTCAGCTAGAGCATTACATGTACTTTTAATGTTTTATTTAGCCATAAAGGCGTAAGAATGAGCTACTACCAAAACAGCTTGAGATGACATGGACTAAAGTCTGACCCATAATTGTCACCTGTATGTCACCTTCTCATGCCACTCCTAGCTTAAGGACCAGTGTGGGAAGCCCCGTAATTGGCTGCCACCTTAACATCTGCAAGGCCGCAACACCTTAATTCCCTCTAGGAGTTAAGTTTGGTAATTAAGCAGCATCATAAACTTAGTTTATCCTGGCTCCATTAGTCAGGGAGTATGCTTATTGAGCCTGTTCGCTGGGAAATTTGAGTTGACCTATGAACCTCCGTCTTGCCACTGTTGCTAAGTTACCTGCTGATGTCTCAGCACCCAAATCCCTCCTCCTCAATGCCCTATATATTTGATACTCATTCCTTGAATAAAGAGAGACTTGATTGGAATTCCTCAACTTGTCTCCGCTCTTTGTGTCTCTTGTTCCCTTTTCATCCCCACCCCCCCTCTAGGGTCTCCGTGGACTTACCCGCAGGCTGGGTCAGGCCAGACTTTAAAAAATTTAAAAACATCAAGTAAGTTGCAGAGAACTATTTCAGTCCCATTTCTGGCTGGCGCACTTCCCTGTGCTACTTATGATCACTCTTCTCTATGTGGACATCTTTTCCTTTTCATTCAATCATGAATTTCCATTGATACTGATCAGTGTTTTTATGTATATACTATTTTAGTATCATCATTATGATGAGCATTTTAAGGTTTAAATAGATAAAAATGAATCAACTGCCTGCAGATTTCTGGAGTGCGGGGACAATATGTGTCAGAAAAGAGAAAAAATTTCATGACTGTATTCAAACTAATTTACCTAAAAATGGCCCCAGTGACTTTCACTTCATTTTTCTATGCTACTGTGCCTTTTTTCCATCAAAAAGAGAACAGTTTGGTGTTTGTATTCTACCCAATTATTCTCCCCTTTATTCTCCCTCCTAAAGACTAATACAGACAAACAGGGCTTTAAAACTATTAAGATTTGCACGCTTTGTTTAAAGCTATTAAGATTTGTTGCTTTGGAAGTAGGGCAAAGCAACATGGAAGACAGTCTGCTGATAAAAGAATCCACAGGAGCTGTTCAGAAGGTGATAGTCTAACCTGGATGAGGCAGCAAGGTATACAAGAAACAGCTCTGAAGTCAGACAACAAGCCAGTTGAGTGACCTGGCACAGGTTCATTTTGAGGAACCCCAGCTTCCCTACCTATAAACTGGGGAGACTATTAGATTTCTCACAAAGGATTTTGTGAAATCTAGAGGTACTAGCAGTGATGTGCAGCTGTAAACAGGAGCTGTTGTCAGAAGATAAGTGAAAGCCAGGTTAGCAGAGACTGAGACGGGCTCCAGAATATCTCAACTATAAATAAGAGAAGACACTTACTTGGTCTTAGAGGTCATGAGGAGATTGGAAAGATGGAGAGGGGTAATGGGACATTCAGAGCAAAGTGAAAGCTTAAGCAAAGGCATGAAGCGAGGAGGAACAGAGCATTTGTTGTAATTATCCCGACATTAAATAAAGCACACTTGACAGCTGGGTGTTGGGGCCTAAGTGTTGCTATAATAACCGGAAATATAAGGAAGGACTAATCAGATTTGGAGATTGCATATATGGAAGCAAGGGGGCAGGTGTAAAAACATGATTGGCATTTAAATAGCCTGGGAAAATAACATAATCTATAGAGTGTTTGAAAGAGAAAAGTTGATAGTGTTCGGTTTTAGACATGCATCATAGGCACCCCGAGTGTTCCTTCATTTCTTCAGGCAGACAAATGCCCCCAAGTGTAGATCATGCTCAGGCCCAGGGAGATGAAGATGAATAGTTTCAGTCCTTCTATGGCTGGTAAAGGAGATGAATGAGTAGCAGATTATTACAAAGCAATGAAATAAATGATCAGGAGAGATGCAATCACATCTGTCACATCAGCGCAGAAAAAGGGTATCCTGGAGCTGATGAAGAACTTGCTTTTCCCTTTTGAAATTCCA